GTTAAACAAAAAAAATTCAGTACACTTTAACAAAAATGACAAGTGAATGAACAAAAACAAATTGTGATCAATGAAAATCAGACCATCATAAGAATGTACAAATTTGTCAAGAGTTTATTTGGTAAATGACAATTAGGTGGATCAACTTCATTGATTATAAGAATAATTACTGATGAATTTGAACAAAATGGTAACAATAAGAAATTACAGGATTTTCATCATGAGCTGACATTAGTTAGAGAACCATTGGAAAACCTGCAGGGAGTACTGGACAGCTGTTTTGTTCTAGTTTGGGACTCTTCATCAGTACGCATTCACCACAGGTGTTCGAACCCAGGACCTTCTGGTTACAAAGCCAGCTAGCTCGTAGACCATTAAGCCACTGGGACCCGATCCAATGGCCCATGAATTCTAACTTCTGCCAATTCACGACATAGCGCGACCCCTAGCCAATGTCTTCGCTGGCGAGTATTTGTCCTCACACCCGAGCTGCTGCACCCTACTGGTCACAACCTCTCACTAGAACCCCAGGTAACTACCTACCTGAATGGGCAAGTCGCTAGTGAGCATCTCATTGATTTTCAAGTGTTGGTTTGTAGGGATTTGATTGGTTACAGGATTTTGGGAGCATACTACTGAAGAGTCCCACACTAGGACGAAACAGCTGTCTAGTACTCCCAGCTGGTTTTCCAATGGTTCTCTAACTAATGTCAGCTCATGATGAAAATCCTGTAACCAATCAAATCCCTACAAACCAACACTTGAATAAGAAACTATTTTTATTTCTATGAGTTCCAAGTGGATTAAAGGGCTACAGCAGCGCCTACCCACTTGACCCCATTCTGAGTAACTCTCTTTAACCGGCGCCATGACTGCCCGTAGGTTCACATTCCTCTTCATACATCTCTACATGTCACCCTCAGGTGGCCGACGCTCAACAGTCTGGCGAAGAATGTCGCTCAGCTATCTCCTCAATGTTGTGTCCAGTCCATCTCTATGTCCTTCAGAATATTTTATGAGCCATTGGGTTCTTGGTTGGTTCCATCCCAAAGTTTCTTGTTGCTAATTCTTTCTGGCTGGCCAGTGAATGCAGCAATTGATGAAAGTCTGCAATAGTCTGTTGGAAATGCTTTTCGTGAATGACACGCAGTGCAAGTTTCTGACCCATATAGAAGAAGTGGCTGACTGACTTAACATTTGGGTTGAAAATCCAAATTTCGTCCTTTATGATGACTTCATAAGATTTCAAAACTGATTTCAAAGTGATGCAAGTCTGTCATGCTTTCCCAATCCTAGCTTTGATATCTTCAAGAGTTCTGTCGCCTGTAGTTGAAATGATGTTTCCTAGATAAGTGAAAGAAGTGACCTGTTTCAAATTCCTTCCGTTGATAGTGACTGGTTGGTTCCTGTTGGTTGGTTATTTTCATCATCTCTGTCTTCACTATATACCCTTGAAACCCTGTCCTCGCTACTTTTACTTCAAGGCAGCAAGATATGTAGGCGTTTAAATTATAAGACTACGTAAGTAATTAGAAAATTGCCAATAGAATTTGCTAATAGAAAATTGCGACACCAACAACCTAGAAGTTCCTCTTCCTATAAACTACTTGAAGGAACTACTTCTCAGATGTACGTTTAATATCCAGTTCAAATTCAATGAACACTTCTGTATACAGAAAGATGGTGTAGCCATGAGGTCTCCCTCTCGATTCCCTCATAGCCAACTGCTCCATGGCGAGTCTCGAAAACAACATCCTCAATCCTTTGATGAGACAAATACACTTATACAGGAAATACGTAAATGATACGTTCATAATTTGTGGTGAAAAAGTTTGATTTAGATTACCTCCTCAAAACCTTAAACATAGCACATCCACCAATAAAATTCACTTTAGAACGTGAAGCAAGCATGTCTTTTCCATTCCTGGTAGTACTACTTACCAGAAGACAAGACTGCACGATCCAAAAATCAATATATCACAAGCCAGCATGGACGGGAAAGTTCATCAACTGGCAGGGTTCGTCCCACTGATCCAAAAGCAAAACCTGATACGTACATTAAGTTCAAAGATTAGAAAAATCTGTTTGGAAGACATGATAGAGAGACCCTACTACAGAAAGAGTATCCATCAAGATTCATAGACAAAAGCATGAAAGAGGAACCTCCTTCGCCAAGCATAGCAATTGTTCCCAAGAAAACTCTCTTCATGAACCTGGAATTCAAAGGTGACATCGCAACGGGAATTCTGAGAAATCGCCTTTCTAAATGTCTGAAGAAGACATTTCAAGCGACCACCTTAAACATCACATTCTCCTGCAGACAGTTAATCCAGACTAACGTTAAGGATAAAATACCACTTCTGACCACCTCATTGTGTATTTATCAGTCTATCTGTTCGTGTGGAGCAAAGTACATCGGCCGTACGCAGTAACAAGTCCGCAAACGTATTCTGGAACATTGTTCAGCTTGGCTAGCCAGTCAGAGGAGAAAAGAAGAATAGCATCAGCTCTGTCCTCAAACAACTTGTCGTCTCCAAACATCGAGAACCCTCTGCCAGTGTGAATGCCTCAAAGTGCTACACAGAGTCCCTCAATAGCGTGCAAAGGGATTTCGAATACTCCATCTGTACATGGCTGAGTCACTGGCTATTCGGGATCTGAAACCGGACATCTGCATTCAAAAACACTACATACATTTACTCACTCTACCGTGGTCAGAGTAACTTTCTCACTATAATTTTGCTTCCTTTTATTATGTAAGTTTATTATTATTATTTCATTATCATTATTATTCCCATCATCCATATTTATTATCACTCTATTACTGTTTATTAATAACATTGCATTTTCATACAGATTTTATATAAAAACCCTCTATCGCGTTTCCACTAGTTCCTGACCATTCTGCAGGAGCTTACTGATTAGTCATTATCTCACACTCATTACATCATCCCAACTTCTGACACTTTGCTGACTTTCCATCAGTCATCTTTTCTAGAGTACAAATTACATTACGTAATATGTTTTCGAAGACAAATTTTTAGTTAAATATAATTACGATTGTGCAGCTCATGAAAATGAATCGTCGACTAAAAAAATTTTCTTCGCTGTTTGTGCCTTTTTCTTATGACTCAATATGGGAATATTTCGTACAGATTGCTAATACACAAATGAGTTGTGAAAAATATATATTCTCAGTTAACCTCTTCTAGGTAGACATCAGACACATTAAAAGGTGACGTTTACCAAATAATGATGTGAAAAGAAATCAGAATTCTTGTTTATTAAAAGACGATGTAGTCAATTACGGTTAAAAGATGAGTTATCAAGGCAGAGTTCACACTTACTTTAGTTGTGTTTTTTTGAATACACAATTTAAACAAAGCAATAAGAAGACGTAATTTGAATCTGAATCGTGTAACGTGCATTTCTGCAACACATTTCGAACAATTTGATCACACATGGACTTGTCATAGGAATGAATGTATATGTGAAATTAATACAGAGTTAAGAGGTAAGAAAATAGACAAGTTAGGTCAAGTTAAAACGATATACTTAAGGTCAAAATAACAATGAAGACCACTAAACCAAAGAAGGGAGGTAATAATGCATCTACCCTGGCTAGTATCAAAACAAAGTTTACCAAGGAAGGCTTAGTGTGATAACGAATTTTTGCTGTGAAGGCATGAAGGTGGTTTAAACTTCCTTATTGTCACCTAGGGCTTCCAAAAACTTTAGGATGGATAGGTTTAAAAGATCTGTTAACATAAATTTTATGTCCTGTCCCATCTATAATATGTTTCGCAATAGAGGAGCTAAGTTTCCTGTTCTCACCATTAATGGGTTCTAGAGATTCAATTTGCTTCTGAAGCCAGCTCTTACTTGCAGAGATCAATGAGTCCTCCCTATTTATATGTGGCTACACGCACATTCAAATGTATAAATATAAATTAGGTTTTAATCGTTTGATAGAGATTGGCTCCAAGAATTTCAAGAAACTAGACCTTGACTGTTTGTTTATTATGATTTGAAGGCATTCAAGATGTATAACTGATGATGGGAGAAATCTGAGAGAAGCAACCTTCTTCACCCACCTACCTACCTACCTGAGAAGCATCGTTTCAACTACAGGCGGATGGAACTGATGAGGATATCAAAGCAGCGAGGATCGGGGAAGCAAAGCAAGCTAGCTGTCATTACTCTCAAGTGTGTGTGGGTCAACATCACTCAGCATGAAAATGAAAATAAGATCCGAATTTTCAACTCCAGTGTGAAGCGAGTGCTACTTACTATACGGATCAGAAACTTGGCGCCGCGTCACGGAAGGCACAAACAAACTACAGACCCTCATCAACCGCTGTTTTCGCTCAATACTACTCAAGATCAGATGGCCTGCCAGAAAAGATCAGCAACAGGGAGGGATCTCTGACAATGGACAAACCAACACAGCAGGAACCAATTGTGCAACAAATATGTAGGAAGAAATGAAGATGGATTGGATTGGCCATACTCTGAGAAAACAAACCATCAAGTGAGTGACATCACACACCAGGCCATCACTCGAGTGGAACCCAGCCGAATGGTAAGTGGCGAGATGTTCGTCAGTGCGAGGGTGACATGGAGGAGGTGATGTGAAGGGGAGATGAAAGCATGTGGGTAGACGTGGAGCCAGGTGAAAACGTTGGCGGAGAACGGAACGCAATGGAGACGTGCGACTGAAGCACTATCTTCCTCTAGGAATTAAAGGAAACAATAACAATAACAAGAATAATTGTGAATTGATAAAAGGTCATAACCACGTACTATTGCAATTCAAATCGTTAGGTAAGTGCTAAGGCGCCTACATTCAAACTTGATAGTCATAGGATCCACTTGTAGATCAGAACATACTGATTTGTCAGTAGAACTAACGTCAATTCCTAGTGCAAATAATTATGAAAGTATTGTAAGCGTCAGTTTTATTTTCTGTTCTCCTTTCTTTTGTTATTGTGTTTTTTTAGATGTTACTTACACCTGTAGACTTTGATGATGACCAGCGGCGAGCATATTGGCGAACAGCACTTCAAGATTTATTGAATCAAGGTGTTGTACCTATAATCAATACAAATGATGCTGTAGCTTGGACTAAAGAAAATGCTGAAGGTAAAGACTCTAAAGTAAGTCCTTTGAACGTGATAATATTATTGGTGTAGATTGATACTTACATGAATTTCTATCTTAATAGAGAGGAGGTGTGACTTTGATTCCCAGCCGATGCCTAGTGTATTAAATAGTTATATGCCTGGAAAAGTGGGGAGGTTGAGTGTGATGTTAGCTACTCTACACCGTAAAAGCAAAACTACCGACAG